GGAATTTCAGATGGAATTTAAAATGCTGAGATCTTTAAGGAGTTTTAGGATATTGAACTAGTATTTAAAGAGTTTACTTGATCACTAAATTAAATTAACTAATGAATTAAATAACATTTTAAACATTTTTTTTATTTTTACCAATATTTCTTGATTTTTTTGTACCCTTTTGAAAAGGTATTTCAGATTGTGTAAGATTTAGCATCAAAAGTTATGAAAACCTACTTTATAATCTTAAAATTTTCAGTAATAGAATATTTTATATAATACGTTTGTGTGCCCTTGAAAAATCTCAAATTAATTTGTAATTTAAGGATATTGATATCCTTTGCTTAAGCACCTCTTCATGAGCGGGGATCATCAACCTCTTGCCACATCTCCCACCCACCCGATGACATAACAATGTCTTGGACAAGGATACATTAAACGATTGAAGCTGGACCAAGTTACAATGATACAAAGATACGGATACATGCGACAGACGCACGCACTGCAAATGTATTTCCAATCATTTTACTCATTATCCGGGCAAAAGTTTTGCGGCCCCCATGTGAATGTGTAAGTATGCGGCTCTACTTGAGCATTCTCATGTCCTTGGCTCATTTGCAGCAGCTGGAAGGGGGAGGGTTGGAGAAGTGGGCGTTGGGCGGTGGGGATGGGGTAGAGTGACTCGTAAGCAAAGCTGGCCACACTATGCGCGGTGAGTTAGTGAGAACAGGACCCCGCAGATACAGCAACTAAAGTGCGTACGAAAGTGTGCGGCGTGTTGGCGTTAATGGTTCTTGATGAAATGAAATAATGGGTGCGTTTATTCACGTAATGTATTTGTATTTGTTACAGCTACAGCAAAAGCAACCACACACATATTTACAATAATAACACAGCTCGTAAAATGAATAACTGAATGGAATGATTGAATGCCGGATGGAATGAAAGCGGCGCCCAGGCGACGCCGACAAAGGGCAGCGGTGGGCTAACAAAACGCTTTTCGTTAGTTTTCATTATTTTCCGCATTTAAGCGTATTTATTCCGTTGTTAATCGAATTTATTAAATGCAAACACGCCAACAAATGGTAGCCAGAGAACTTGTGTACTCACAAAAGTGTGTGTAAGGGGGGAGTAAGGGGGACTGGAACACGCACCTTTGGCATAGACCACCATCCATATACCCCCCTACTAAGCCAAACTGGGTGCGTTTTGTTTGGCCCGAGAAATAATGTTTCTCGCATGCTTATTGCCTTTGCTGCCGGCTGCTAATTTTACGCATTTCACGCAGTTCTTCAAGGGAAAACTGGGGGGTTGGGTGGGAATGGTGGGTAGTCAAGACCCTGGGAGCGTCGTACGTCATTAAATGTCTCTATCGCTGGGACAGACAAAGCACACAAACACACACACACCCAAGTAAATTATCCTTGGCGCAGATTCTAATCCTTTGCATGACACACATTTTCCGTCAACAGATTTACCACTAAAGTATAATTAAGGCAAGCGGTGCAGTGATCTTATCGATCTGTTAAAACTTAATATTTAAATACAAATATGCTAATTTATAAATCTACCTAACATACAATATATTTTAATATTTTATTTAACCCGAAAATCATCCCTACAAACAAAATGTATATCCCTGGTTATCAAAGCAACTATGACAAATGCAGACAAGCGATTTAATCATCTAGGCCCGGGTAAATGTATTCCAAAGTATATATAAAATTTTTTGCTGCATTTTAAGAAACTGACATAAGATGGACGGAGGAGCAAAGAAGTGCATTTGTGAGCAGCTGGCAAATAGAACCCAACCGAACCAAATCGAAAGAAACTTTGCGCATTAGCTTCCAAATGGCAAATGCCCAGCGACGAACAGACAGCGCCAGTTGGTCCGGCCAAGTTGGGTGTTCCGCCTTTGCCACGCCCCCTGTTCCGCCCCCCGACTTCCGGAAACTTTTGCATTCGGTCTGGCCAAGAAATGAGCAACTGGCCTCATATGTCAATGATTTCTTTTTACTTTACTTTGTTTGCTTGCATTTCCTCGCCCACGTCGTCATCGGCGCCAAATGCAGTATTCGCACCTACTGCCAGGAATTCTTTTCTTTGGGAATCCAACTCTTTTTCTTCTAGATTTGGCTGATTTGAAGTAAGCCCTGTCACACACACACACCACCTCCCCTTTGCTGTTATTATTTTGGCTGCCATTTATTTGCTGTCAATGTTTGGGCCACCTCCGGGATACAAAACACCCACCCACCTCCCACCGCCCACCTGACGAGGCCGCAGCCGCCGGCCTGGCTGTCCGCTTTCTTTTTTGTCTCCCCGATATCATTTTCATTTTAAAATGTCCTCGCCAACGACAGCGAAGACGCCTCCTAGCAAAGAGTCCAGATTTTCTATGTCCTGCTTTCTTTTTCCTCTGTTCTTTGAGTGCACGGAGAGAAATCTTTTTGTATAAATACATTTAATTTATATTCTAGAATATAACGGAGTTTTCCACATATTTATCACAGTGGCGGATCAAAACAAAATTTTTAGTTGCAAAATTTTTGAAAACCCAAATCTTTTTCATTCTTTTGCAATTCAATTATTCTTAGAAAATTTTTTTATTTTAAACATTTTTCCTGGTTTACTATTTTTGCATAAATATTTTAGATTGAACAAAATGCTTTATTTTTCCGAGTGCATATTTTCCCATGTTATTCTAGTCCTTTTTCTGCCTGCTCCTCGAAGACAATTTCGGGCCAGGTCTTGGTTTTGGCCCGGCCGGGGCCACTTTATAAATGTTTCTGCAATGGATTTTTGCAAAGTAAACTTTTTCCTCCTTTTCTCGTTCGTCTTTTGTAGTTTTTGGGCCCGCATCTGATTGCGAGTGTGTGACATTTGTGGGGGCGGAGTGAAGGAGTGGCGGGGTCCAAGTAAATATATTAAAATGCAAACCCAACTCATATTACCAAGGCAGGGGCAGGATCGGGATCAGGGATAGGGGATAGCGGACAGGGGACAGGGGACAGGACTTAGCTCTCAAGTCCTTGCGCACACATGTGCGCAATTTCCAAGTCCGTTTTCGGCCATTGCCAATGCCCACCAAATAAATCGAATGCACAAAAAAGCAATAAAACGAAATAAAATCTAAATATGTATGGTCTCGAGTGTCGCCCTTTTTTTTTGGGGGCGGCGGAAAAGGGGCAGGGTTGAATGTGGGCGGACAAGGAACGAAAAACAGAAGGCAGGCAGAGGGCAAAAAAAAAACTTATCATTTTTATCATTGCGCAAAAGTTTATCCTTTTTGCTCGGGCCGTTAATATTTTCGATTCGGATTTCCAAATGGCCAAAAGTCCCGGCACCGCCCCTTCACCGTTGTTACTGCTCGGAATTTCAAATGACTTTGGCTCGTTCCGAAGCTTATTGAATGTTTATGCTTTATTAAATTTGATTTCTCTTCTCTGCCTTCAGTCGCCCGGTGTCTCACTAAACTGACCAAGTGCCGGCCAACATTTGTTGCAATGATCTATGTGCCCTGAATATTAAACGACACTCGGGACTTATAGTCGGGATAGCCAGGAATCGGTCGAAGGATGGAACTCGGGCTGGGTCTCTGAAGCCGGGGCTATTATCATTTTAATGCGCGTTAAATGCGACATTTGCGACATCGGACAAAGTGCGTGTCATGTGCTTGGGAACACAAACAGCCCGAAAAGGAGGCAGGAATAAGGATCTGGTCAAATCATTTTTGTAACGCCTTTATCTACACTGAGAATAAGGGGTTTTATCAGGTTCTTTCAAGCCTAAGTTTAAAAATAATTTAATTGTTTGTATAAAACGAGAGCAACGTGTATACAAATCCCAGGATAAAAGTTATTTTTAGTGTTTCTTAACACCGCTTTTTCTCCAGTGCACCATCTTATCTCCACATCCTTCCGCTTCACAATCGAATGGTAATCATAATCACAATAACCGTAATAGCAATAGCAATAGCCGTAGTTATGTCGATAGCAATAGTGTTTGGTAATGGCAATAATCATTTTTTGTCGTCCGTTATGTAGAACATTTGCACATACGTGAATGGCCATTCACTGACATTACGTTCCCCAAACCGAATGTGTTTATAATCACACGCTGAATGTTCTGGCCAACAGTTACATATCCACATATCCATGGCCTCTAATGCGACACGTGCTCCGCGCATATTTCTTGGCCCTCTGGAAGGGATTGGGAATGGGATCTGGTAGAGGTTCTGGTTCTGGACCAGCGACAGTTGGTTATAAGCCTAATGATTGCCGCCCATATGGGTTGGTCAGCTCGTTAGGATCGAACATCGGGAAAATGAAGCTTGTTTGGGATACGGGGACTATAGTAATGGTTAATTTGTGAGTTTCACTGCTTAAATGCTAAACTAATACAACGACTTAAGATGACTTCTTTTATAATAGTTTTACACATGAATAGTAAAATAAACCGATAAGTACTCGAGAGGAATTTTCGTTTTCATGTAGCCAATTATTTTTATACATTTATGATGCTCGTTATCGGCTTATTATAATTTGATAGTTAGATACATTAGAACAGGTCTATAAAACGTTGCAAATCATATACAAAATTTATTTTTTTTATAAATAATACAGAACAGGCCATTGTTCGATTAATCGATAATGCTTGTTAAAATTTGTATTTTAAATGGTTTTTATTATTTTTAAACCTTTTTGATCAATGTTATAAGTCTTAAATATATCTGATATTATTTATATGCCAATTAGTTGCAGTCCTCCCTAATTGTTTATCGATAAATCGACAGTTAGTTACTATATATGCAAAACATGTCTGGCAAAATGCAAATCATATGAGTAATTGTTTTGTTCCAAACACTCTTGTTCCAATTTCCAATCGGTTTGTAAATCATACACAAGAGGCAAATACTCAATTTGGTTTCGTATAATAAAGTGTAAACGAAGGGCAAGCTCGTTATCGATATATATAATGAATGGTATTGGCTAATGGAAAGCTCGACTCACCAAAATCACTGTTAATGCCGGAGGGTCCTGGCAGGAGACCGGGAATGCCCTGAAGGCCGAGGAATGCATTGGGGAACGAGTGGGAGCGCTGATTGTCGATGCCATCGAGGGTTCCATCGTGCTGTCCATCGCCTCGATCCGAGGGCTCCGTATCACTGCTGGTCGAATCCTCACCGGCGCTCTGGCCAAGATCGTGTTTCTGCCGAAAGAAATTTCCAAAAATTGTAAATTTCCAAAAAAAATTTCACAGAAAAAATTCGATATGAAATAGGATTAATTCTACCTTATTTCATATTAAAAGCCGATATGAGTTATGTCAAATTTATGATTCAAACATATCAACATGATATAAAACATCATATCAATCATATCATATAATATGCCAAATTTAGTATTTCTTGAACAAATAATATCAAAATGACATGATCAAATTGACCAGCACATGTCAATTAGATATTTTGCCAATTTATTTTCTGTTTATTAATTAAATATTGTTTTTATTATTTCAAAGTCTGATTTTTATATAAAATATCAAGAATATATTGAACCTAAGATTAGAGTAACCTACCTGATTGGCCTGCTGTCCGTTGCTGTTCTCCAGAGCCTGTCCCAGTAGCGATTCCCTCAACTCCATGTTGCGCTCCCGATCCTTGGACGTATCCCGGCCGCTCCTGTTCCGCGTGAGGGGATGCTGTCCGGCTACGGGGAACTCGCGGTCGAGCAGCAATCGCTCCGGACTAATGCCGTGCTGTGCCCGGAACAGATCGGCGCTCTTGATGCGTTTCTGGGGCGGCGGCGTCAGGTGGCTCTTTCGGCTGCCCTCCATCTCACCCATGTCCCAGTGATTACTGCTGCTGGCCTATAGATTGGGTTACAAATTAAAGAAAAACATAAACCCGAAGTTAGTGGGAGTCTGGAAGGGAGCAACCAAGTCGAGTGATAGCATTTCTTTGGAACTGCACACTTTACTTTGCTGGGATTGGGATTCGGATTCGGATTCGAATTCGGGTTTCTTACGGGCGACGCTGCCGACGATGCCTTCAGCTCCTGGATGGCGGGCGTTCCGCTCGAGTTGCCGCCGCTCTGTCCGCCGGCATTGCTGCTGCTGCTGGACGTTGCTGCCACTGCCGCTGCTGCAACTGCGGCGGTGAGCGATGCAGCCGCGGCTGCTGCTGCTGCTGCCGCTGCACTCGAGGCGGTCACCGATGGCGGTACCTGTGGCGCGCTGAACGGTGAATTTAGGCTGCTGTTCAGGGATCCGCTGATGTTGTTGCTGCTGCTGTTGTTGCTGCTGCTGCTGTGGCTGTTGCTGCTGTTGCCGCTGTTGTTGCTCGTGGCACTCGTTTGAGTGGGCTGCTGCAAGTAACTGCTAATCTTGTTGTGATTACTGCTCTCGGCTATATTGTTGTTATTATTATTGTTGTTGCTCAGGCTGTTGCTGCTGCTGTTGTTGTTGTTATTGCTGCTGCTGTTGTTGTGACTCAAGGCAGCGGACAATGCCTTGGAGTAGGGATAACCACCATTCACATCCGCCAGTCCGCGAATCTGCAGCAGGTGAGCTGTCTTTAGGAAGTCGGGCAACTGTTCGTGGCTCACATTCACCTCACCATTGTACATAAAGCTAAACAGGGTTAAAAATATTTAAAATACAAATAAAATTAAATTATAATTTTAAAGGACATCTTGCTTCAAATATTTATGATTCAAATTTATGATTTAAATGACTGAAATTCTTCTTTATTATGTGGGTTACATTTGTTTTACATTCTCTCTTAAATTTAAAAAAATGTCCTAACCAGAAGATAACTTGTGGCTAAGAAAAAAAAAAACCAATTTGGCTTTGTAAAATTTAAATGTATTATTTGAATATAGTGGGCTAAAATTGCCACACATCTAAATTTTTTTTGATATTTTTTTTTAAGTTTTAGATAACTTAACTTAACCTAACCAGAAGATAACTTGTGGTTAAGAAACAGCATTTAAACATGACTAGATGAAATTTTTATTTATGATTTAAATATATTGGGTGAAAATTGGCACGTATCTACAATATTTCTTTAATATTTCTCTTTAAAGTTTTAGATATTTCCTAACCAGAAGATAACTAATGATTAAAAAACCGTAAAAATGACACGTGGAAATTAAATAGAAAATAGTTTTGAGAAGCTACACTCTGTATAACAAACCCTATATAAGCAATCTCGAACTAAACTCACCTCAGCAGATTCTCGACATCGTCGCAACGCACGTCGCGCAGGATGACGATCGGGTGCTCGCAGGGATTGGCCTTGAGCAGCCGGCGGAAGTAGGGGCTGCAGGCGCTCAGGACGACCTTGTGGGCGGTGAAGGAGCGCTCGTCGCAGGCCAGCGTCACGTCGACGAAGTCCTCCTCGTCCCGCAGATGCCGGAAGGAGCTGAGGATCGAGCTCTGGAAGTCGTTCCACTTGAGGGCGTAGTGCTGCTGGTGCTGCGAGTGCTGCTGGCTTGAGTGTGAGAGATTTAGGGAGGAGGGCGGGGGCGTGGCCGGCGAGAGGGCGGATCCGGTGGCGGCCATCGAGAGCGAGGAGAGGGAGGAGAGGGCGTGGGCGGCTGCGGCGGCGGATACGGAAACGGAGGAGGTCGCCGGCGGCGGGGGCTCCATTTTGACCACGCCCGCGTTGTTGTTCTCCGCCGTCTGCAGCTGTGTGGATTCGGTCATTTAAGTGGACCACGTCTAGCCGGGATGGGATCTGATGGGTTCTTGGGTTGGTTAGCTGTCTTAATGGACCCGGTTGCTTCTTCTTTTGTGACTAATTCCTTGTCTATTGTCGCACAAATGCTTCCCTTTTGTTGTGTGTGTTCTCCTTTTATTTTTTGTATTTTTCGTGGAAGGCTGGCAAATATTTGCACTGCCCCGTTCCGTATGTGGATTTTCCGGCTTCCCTGCTAATTCGGCGGCAGCCTCGCGCGGCCTTTGTCCATTTTCACCGGACTCTGTTTGCCGCGGCGCCCATGGACGGAGCTATGTGGTACTGGAGGGGAAACATAAAAAAAGAGAAACAGAAATTAGGTTCAGTCTTCGAATGGCTCAAATCCAAATACAATTGCTCGGGCAGGTGGGCCAATCATTAAATATTATTACCAATTATTCATACATAAGCAGCGGGACCGGGACGCGGACTGCCGCTGGATCCGCGGTTGGTCTAATGAAACCATTAATTACCCCAGCGGACCCCGAACCATCGAGAGCGGGCCACTTGTCGGGGGCATTAGACGCAAATCAATTTAATTTAACCGTTTACAAGCCACAAAACAATGGAGCTCAAGCTCCCCGCCACTCCATAGATCTTTGACTTACACTTGGGGAAAAAAGTACTCACAGTTTTAACAATTGCTTTACATATATTATGTTATTATCTATAATTCCTATTAAAAACTAGTTTTGTTATAATAATATAATATGTATTATATCTTGTATTATTATATCTAATATATTAAGTTCCCAGAACATTACAGCAATTCTTTAAGTGCACCATCCCAATAATTGTACAAGATCATTAGAAGAGGTAACCACCAACAATCCATCCATCTTCGGTGTGCTACCGCTCTCCCCTCGCTATAAGGCAGAAAACCCAACCTGATCGATGTACCGCCATCAAAATATTTATAAACGCATTCATCTCGAGATTTCAGTTTCGGTTTCAGGTCTTGGATTACGATCACTATGAAGATTCGGATTACATTGCTGCTCGATCGAATATTACGGGAGGCGGAACTCGCCGTCCCCCCATTTTCATTACCTTCACTTCTTACAAAAGGAATTTTCTTGCAATTGGCGCCTGCAGTTGCAGGTAGGTAATTTTTCATGGTGCATGTGGAATTCCGCTTGGAAATCATGTTCACAATTTCCATGGGTACTCATTCACTTACTCACTCTTTGCCGCACTGACTCACGTCGTCGGTTGATTAATGATGGGGCATTTTAAACTCGATTATGGCCATCACTTTTGGCCGAGACTAAGACAATCGAAGGAGGCTGGTCAGCAGCAATGCTAGTGAAACACTTGCTAAGGGTTTATTGTGCAACGAGTGAACGTTAATTTGTACTAGTCATTTATTATATTAATTGCAATAAATGCACTGCATATTTTATCAGTTCAAGGTAAGTATCGTAAAAGTCTTAGGAAGTTCCAGAGCCAGAAACCGAACCAATACCATAATATTATAGAGGGAATCGACTAATACCCCCTAAAAAAAAACCCAAACCCTCTGCGTTGCCGAGCTGCGTGCATTTGTTTGCGCTAATTTATGAAGTAACCCAAAACAATTTCATCATAACACATTTGCTGGCAATTATTTTGTTTATTGAACAAACATTCGCTTTTGCCTCGCACATCGCATAAATTCGGGGGTACTGCCATTCCATACCATACCATGCAATACGTATACAATACAATAACTAACCCAGCCAAGACACAACGAAATAAAACAACAGATAGTTTCCGGCTTGGTAACCGAAAAATATGTAAATGAATGGGAAAATGGGGAAAAAAGGCTGCTACAAATACGCTTTTCACATGTAATCAGCGGAATGAGTGTGTGTGCAGGACGCAATTGCATTCAGCATGCCACACTTCAAATGTTCAACTTTCAAATGGCAACTGCCTAAAAACAAAACATTTCAGAATTTTGCGTTAAACAAAACACAGTTCGTTTTGGCAGCCAAAAAAGGCCAAAAGCCATTCGTATGTGTGTTTGTAATGGAAAGGAATATTCGCCAGGGGGCGGCAAGGACCTCGGCATGTCCTGGGGGCCGGAGTTGAGCGTAACATAATAACAAATAAATGTAAATGATAATGGTAAATAAAAAACGAATTACTAAACAACACACAATCATCTGCAAATACACAGATATCTAGGCATATATGTAGACACCGCCATCAGGATATATATAACGATCCACATATACTACATATATGGCTGTACAAACACGCGTATGAAAAAGGGTTGGGGGTCTCGTATCTAGAACTGCGGAAATGCCAGCAACAACTGCTGTTGGCCATGGGCACAATCAAATTTGTACTAACTATTTGAACACCCCGAAAACTTTTGCCCCGCAGGGTATATCGAATAGAGAGAATATTTTACAACGGGCTAAATAAAATAAAATAGAATAAAATAATTATTTTGGTATAGTTATTCCAGATGTGCTTGATTTTTACCCCGAGCGTAAAAATATATAAAATGAAAAAGAAAATAAATGCATACAGCAAATCACTGGGTATATTGGCTTCTAATAACTCCTCTTTCACTTTGTCACTTGTTATTTTTGGTAAATTGATACTATGCCTTGGCAAGTGAACTAAGTTCCTTGGCAAATATATTTTACCCCCTCCGCCACGCGGCTTACAACCCCCATTTCTCCTGACATGTATCCTCCATCCATCCAGTCTTTCTGACTACGACGATTTCAAGGAGGAAGGGAGGCGCGTTATGATGATGATTGTTATTTTTACGATTTGCATTTGAGCTGTCAGTGGGAGAATCATTGAATGTACACAAAGTCCGAGGTACAAGTAGCTCCTTTGTGTGTGTATGGTGTTTTTTTGTTGGTTCTCTCATTATTTTTACAGTTATGTTTATATCGTTTATGACTTCATATTGTAGGGCGTTCGTCCTTGTAAGGGGAAAGTGATGGGTAAGCCATAAACAAAATTCACGCATGAATATAAAATCAGGAAATTGACTCAAATTGGTTTGGGATGGGACACTTTTATAAAGTTATGTAGTGAGTATACTAAGCTTTTAATGGTATCTGAGGACTGAATTTTAAATTAAAATTCTTTTAGGACTCCGCTTGATTAGTTTTCGTGAAAAATGTCGATTATTGTTTGGCGGAAAGTGTCAAATCGAATTATATGCGGTGTCAACAATGCAATTTTGGTACGGCCTAATAGAGTAGATCGCCTCCTCGCTAAATTCTACCGTATCGTTTTTCCCTTTTCGGGAGGAGGTCCTCTCACTCAGTGCAAGCAAATTAGTTAAAAACCAATTAAAATCGCTCATCCGCCACGTTGACCGAGCCGACGCCACACGATGATTGCGGGGGAGGTGGCCATCCATATATATGTACAATCTGTACATAGGATAAATGTATGTACTCTCAGCGGAGTGTGTGTGTGTAGTCTACACACGATTCAGGACCAAATATTCTACAAATCCAAATTAGAATGTCAATAAAATGCCATTTTTAATGAAATAATTAATTAGATTTTGCACATCAACAATCTAACACGCATTTGCGGACCAAGCACCCAAACGTGTGTATATATCTGTGTATCTTCTATGCGAATAGAACCATTTTTAGAGCTGGGCCGTGAACCGTGAGTAAATTCGTGTGAAATTCACATGGGCTTTAAACCCAATTCTTTTAAACTGGGTTCAAAGATTTCCTATAATTAAAAGTAATTTCTAAAATAACTGGAAATATAATACTGTTGAAAAAGAAAAAAATTTCAAAGTACCAAAATTGTTTTCATCTTCCATTTATGCATTTTACCTCTGATTTAATTGTTTGTATTTTCCTGCAGACCTTTAACCCAAAATTCTCTCACGCTCACATATCAAAAACAGATGTATAAATTAGCATACACACACCAGCACAAACGTTATAGTTGAATTTAGTTGTTGGACACCATTTTGTTTAGAATTCGCCTGGCTTTTTCTAAATTTGCATGCGTTTCTATCTCCATTTTCCTTATTATTCATCTGACCATCGCATTTCTGTTGTGTTTTTCTGCTGGCAGCAGCGCGATTTGTTCGATTTTCAATTATTTAAATGGTTTTATTTTCGTACGCCTCACATACACTCATTTGCATTTCTGGATCCCGGACCCAATCCTCCACCGCTCCCCACAAAATCATCGCCCCCGAGTTGGACACGCATCAAAGTGGCACTCAATGGCAGGAAAAAACTAAAAACGATAAGAGAGCCGAGATGGAACTCGCAGCGACTTTTCCTAATTGCCTCGGAGACTTTAAATTGAGACATGAAATTGAATAATTCAAAATAATTAGCAGGCCAGAAGACAGCCCTCAGTCGCAGTCTCATTCGCATTCTCATTCTCAGTGGCAGTCTGGTCGCGTAATTGCATTAATGATTTTGACAAATGACCGTCGCAAAAGTCGCCTTTGACTTTGACGTCGACTTGATGCAGATGAGAGGCTGAAACTATATCGGGGAAAAGACTGGGTGACTGGGAGCCCCGTCGGAATTCATTCCATTAAACGCGAAAATCAATCAAGGTGAGTGCGGGAGATTCAGGGCCAGGTGTCCTACACTTTTATGAAATTTTAAAAATTTAAATTTTAAAGTAAACTTTTAAATACTTAACTTGTTAATAAAATAAAAATGATTAATACTTTTAAAGGATTGGAATCTTTTCAACCCTTTAAAAATATTCTAATGAGAAAACCTTTTTTTATTTCTAAAACTAGTTTTATCTAGCTTTTATTTCTCAGTGCACGGCTTAGACAAATCTGCGATCTATTTCATGGATAGACATTGAGGGGCATTCGAAGCCAGCTGCTAATTAAACTAATTGAGTAATTTCAGAAATTCAGAAATTAAATGAGCAAATAAAAATGCCCAAAGACAGAGACATCAAATAATAAAAAAAAACCAAAGCCAAATTTTGAAGCGCAATAATCGCGAGCGCAATCGAAACTTAAACCTGAAATGGCCTCTAAAATGGATTGTTTTGGGTTGATGAGGGGCGAGATCTCCCGTCCATCCGTCGGATGCGTGAGACCATTACTCACGGATCGCTCTTGGGAGATATAGGAGCGGACTGCAATGCGTTTTTATTGGCACCCACTAGTCAACTAGTCCACTATCCCACGCAATATCCACTGCCCAGCCAACAACCTGTCCTAATTAATTTCCAACCTTACCGAAATGACCATCTTAATGGGGCGACTCCACTCCACTAGCCGATAGCCATCTCAATGGGCCGCAATTAGCCC